CACAGTCTTCCTCATTGTAGAGGAACTAACAAAACCTCACCCCAGAAGCACCTTATTTAGAATTTCCTTTACATGCACCCTCTTGTATGAACATACTCAGACTTCATGCAGATTAAGACTTTTGAAGTTTATGATAGCAGACTTGGCTAATGAATAACAATTTCCTGTAGCCTATTCATCCATTACCACAGATCCACTAGTACACAAATATTGCTAAGTTCAGAACCACACACCAGGTGTTTCTCCTAGCCTTTGCAGGTTAATAAGGTTATAAAAATAAATTACTGCTACAGTTTCACTAATCCTAAAAGTAGAAGGGAATTTCTAAGTTCTTATGTTTAAATAAAAAGGATAAAAACTTTGGTGCCATCACCTCTAGTAAGAGCTAGACAGTCTTACTCTACCAAGTTACTGTCTTCTGCTTATTCTGGAATTAATTCTAAAACGCAAAGTTTCTCCAATGTGACTCAACTGCATCCCTACTTCTGACATAAGAATAGGATATTAACCTGGGCTATGTTCTGCCATGCTCAGCTACACTTTCTGAAAAATCTTTCCAAGCTCTTCTCCTCTTGATCTCTTGATTGAGACCTTGTTCTGGTAGACAAAACCACTCTTCCTCCCCTACCCATTTCACTGTCATTTTTCTCATCTTTCCATTGGCTTCTACTCAGACACCACATGGGATTCAACCTTGTTCTTGACTTCAAGGCAACCATACACACCCCTAGTTATATGATTTTGATAACCTCTAGACCAGTCCATAAACTGTCAGCTTCCACACCATAGTTTGCCTTTCCCTGCATGTAAGATAATTAGCTTGGAGACAAGCCATCTTCATACCAAGATTCCACTAAATGATCTATTTTTGTCAAAATGTCCAAGGGTAATCAGTTATGCTCTCCCTTTAGAGTGAGTATTAGAATTTGAAGTCACATTCCCTCATTTATCTGTTCTGTAGGCTTCTTAGTAAAACTTAAGTTTGACCATCTGACTCATTTCAGTGTTTTTTGAACTGGAACACTACTGTGGCTTAACCCCAGCTGCTAATTAAGTACCACACAGCCACTCACTCCCCTGCGGTGGGATGCAGGAGATTCAAAAGATTAAAGCCATGGATTCAATAACTGAAGTAAAATAATAATAGGAAAAAGAGAAATGAACAAGAAACACCCAGAGTGATGCACAATACAACTGATCACCATCCACTGACTGATACTCACCCCATCCCTGAGCAGTGATCAGGCATTTCTGGCCAACTCCCCCCAGTTTATATACTAAGCATGATGTTCTGTGGTATGGAATATTGCTTTAGATAGTTTGGGCCAGCTGTCCTGGCTATGCTCCCTCCCAGCTTCACTGGCAGAGCTGAGAAGTCCTTGATCAGGGTAAGCGTTACGTAGCAAACTCGGGTGTGTTATCAGCATTGTTCTCACACTAAATCCAAAACACAGCACTGTAGCAGCTACTAGGAAGAAAATTAACTCTACTACAGCCAAAACCAGAACAAACACTCATTTGTCTTTTGTGGCAGATTTTACATTGCTCAGATAATACCTCCCTAATATATAACATACTTTTGAATAAAAGATCTCCACAACTACTCACAGTATTTCAGAAGCAGTAAGAACATCACCAAGAAGATTGCCAAATATTACTTTACTATCCCACTCAATTTTGCTTTTCATCGAGGCCACAGAGAGAAAGGGGGCTTGCGTAACATCACTCAGAAATGAGATTTTCACAGGACCAGGCTTTTAATTTGCTTTTGAAAAAAATTGTGATTCTAGAAGCTACTAGGAAGTCGGAAGACAACAAAACATGGAACCATAGCAAGTTATATCTTTTCCCCCTACTTTCTTCCTTCTCCTCTTTCAGAGTCAATTTGCATTTGGTTGAAATATAACTGACAACTGCTGTACACTTCACTCTACATACTCCTACTTTCGAGTTTTTTGGTGTTACAAAGACATGCCTTAGTGTGGCTACTGCTGTTCACTGACGGGTATATTTAGATTTCAATCCAACTCCTGTGGACAGGTGTCTTTTTACTATTGCCACACTTGCAGTATACAGAAGCCAAGAAGCAACTGCTGCAGAAACAGAATCCTCTTCTCACCTTCATATCAGGACTGGAACATACACACTTGGCAGGAGTAACATGCAAATGCTTATTGTACACTGAGGAAAGCCCAGTCTATTATTACTCTCATATCTCCCTGAGCCCAAATTCACTTACAGATTAATTAACCCTCTACCCTCATTAACTATAGCTACTTTAAAACCCTGACGATTTAGAAAGTTAAAAATAGATGTTCCTCTACCAAAATCCCAGCACATCCTTAACATCTCTTTTGAGCCTTCTGAAGCAATTAATGAGAACAACTGCCTGGACAGGTTTTTTTACTATGAAAGTCCTTCAGGAAAACTCTATCATATGCTTTAATCTCACTTAATTCTTCCCCTCCTCAAAAATTCTAGGTAGGCTAGGTTTTCAGATTTTAACAAGTATCGTTTTCACATTAGGTTGACTATCTCTACTTGACCCTTCAGTAACATATTAAACAAAGTATCAACTATTCTTGTAGCAAGTTGCTAATGTCACATTTAGGAACCTTGGGAAAAATAACATCCCACCCCATACCAGATACTGACTCTCCTTTTTCAAAAAAGAATTTTGATTCCTCACAACCTAAGAAGCACCAATTTCCTTGACAAAAGCAGGATATCTGAAAGTAGACATCTTCCAGGGAAATTAAATCATTTCAATATATATCTCCATTATAAACAGATTTTCTCAGTCAATTCAATAGACACTACATGCATTACAGTTCACTGGTTGCTTGTCATGGGGAGGACTAACATTCCTAATTACTCTACAAAAAGCCCGACATTAAGATCCAAATTTTTAAAAGGAAAAAATATATGGGCCTTAGAGTAATCTTAACTTCTGAAGCAACAGTATATATGCATTCATATCGCATACGCGGGATCATAACATCAGTACTTGGGTTTACTGCTTATAATGTAAAAACATCCAAAAACCTACTGTGCTGAATTACCAAAGTATTCCATGTTTTTTTTTTCTCCAAAGAAATCAGCCTTTAAACAGATAAATTAGTGAGGTAAGAAATGCAGAGATCAACCTCTGAAAGTTTTACAAAATAATGAGTAAGCTTTGTCACCTTTCAAGCAAAATTATTTCCATTTTAAAAAAGTTCTGGAATATAAAATACGTTCTCTTAAAATATCAAACAATGCATTCCCCTATCACCATATGAGAAAAGTACACAGTACAAAGATATGTTTGGAAAAGGGACTCTTTTCTTTGTATTCCCAACTAAGATAGTCACAAGATGTTTTTACTAATTGTTTAAATAAATGTAGCCAAACACCTTCAAGTACTCCTTTAATCACATGCCTACATCTGTCTATTAAGATTACTAATTAATATGAATTACAATTTAGTTAGTGAACCAGGAAAAAAATAAATAAATCCTCATTTATCTAAATACAGACCAACCTTGATTCTGACTGATGTAAGGGTTAAGCTTCAAAACTAACCCCAAAGTATCAGAAAATAAAGCATGTATTTGGAAAAGAAAATTAATCATTGCTGTGCACATAATAATTATGTCTCATATAAAGAAATGGATACTAAGGTCACATTTAGAAACATGTTTTTCTTGTAGAAGGCTTTCCAGCTACTAAGATTTAGCTGTCTCCTGCCTTTACACTGTAAAACACTTCACTTTGGGACTGAGACAATGGACTAAAAGTGGTTTTGAAGTTTCCTTCTTCCCTCCATATACACAGAGAACATCACACATGATAAAACTGTTATCAGAACTACTACTAAAGGTTCCCAACTGTTATATTTACCAGGAAACATGTAACAAACATGTATCACTCAGCTTTAAAAGTGATATAATGAAAAAAGGTACAGCTTCAGTAATGCAGCAGCAAATATTCATCACTATGGTAACAATAAATAGCATCAACAGGCTTCACACACTGTTCAGAAAGTCTTACGGCAAATGCATGTGAGCTTCCCCTACTAATCAGGGACCTATTTATATTTGATCAAAGCCACCTTTGCTACATACAGACATGCTCCTTTTAAGGTAACATATGCCTTCTGAACTTTTCACAAAGTAACTATAGAATAGCTGCATACAGCAGAACAGAAATTCTCTTCAGTTTTAGGAATCACGAAGCAAGTATTGCTGCTAGATGTCTTTATTTTCTTTAACAAAATACACAAAGGCACAAAATTCACTTATATCTTGTCATTATTGTACAGGTATAAATAGTGCTTTGTATTCAAGTACAATCAAGTGCAGAGACTTTCTATATTTTATGTAAACACAAAACAGTTTAGTATGTACGTGCCTCCGCTTCATTTGCAATGCAAATACCAAAGGAGATGTCATTTATCCGAGTGCCATTTTACTGAATTCTGTCAAAAAGTTCGACAATGAATAACATTAACAACACTGTAATGACACTTCCATATGCTTAAGTCAAATGTCAGGTGACACTTTAGCTTGTAAACATCTGTGTATTTAAAATGTACTCAATTCATTTTAAGAGGGAAGCTTTAAAAAAAAAAAAAAAAAATCTATCTTAATTTCACTAAACCAAACTTACTAGGTGAGTTGCTGCCAGTAATCGCTCTTTACATATGACAGCTAAAGAGATGGCAAACTATAGGTCACCCTTAGCAAAGCTTATACTTTTAAGTTTTTAAATATGCAAACTGAACAATGGCTACTACTGTTAGACTTCAACCAACTACACATTCTGTGTTAACTTACTTAAAGACACATGCTTTATTTACAATACCTATTTTTAGATGTAGCTTTCACATACTGTGGCAGTTGAGGCAGTTTAAGCTCAAGCAATATTTTTAAGTTGTACCATTAAAAAAAGCTCACCTGAATAGCAACAACAGGCATGAACAAAGCTAAAAACTAGCTACAGAAGGCACTTGAAGTACTTTATTCTGTTTTCATTAAAGATTCTTCACTTTGTTCAGCTGAAATAGACTCTGAAACAGAGTCTTCAGTTGTTGAAATGCTCTCTGCTGCTTTTTCAGCCTCTTCAGCTAACTTATCATTTAGCTGCTCAGCACTTGGTGCTTTATCATGTGTCTCATTTGTCTCAACGATCTGGGCTGTGTCTTCTTCAGATTCTGTGAAAAGAAAAATTATGAAATTACCATTTCCAGAAATGAAGAGGTAGCTAATATTCTTGAAAAACAAACAAAACAACATTTTGCAATCACACACAGGTCTTGACCAGCCACTGCATAAAGTTCTCAACTGCTAAAACCTATTTTATTTTTCTAACAAGAGGGTCACGGATAAAACCTCTACAATTTAAGAAAAAAGAAAATACTATAGAAAAGAGTTCAGATCCCACTATGAAAATATTATTATTTGTATATGTTCACCTTCAACAGAGTCTTTCTAAGACTGTTCATTAATGTGAGACAATGACAGAAATAAGCTTCTTTGTGCTTGGTAATGGAAGTTTTACCAACTATATAGCATTTTCTGCATGAGTTCAATCTGCACACAGAACCTAAACATTCTATTTGGTGGAAACTATTTTAAACATAAAGAGCCAGATAACCAGAAAAAAAGAAATTATCTAGTCCTCAACATTTCAAAACAGCCAAAATTATTGTGTATTCGAAGTTTTCCCATAGCAAATGTAGGAAGGATACACAGAAGTAGCTTTACTCTCAATCTGGGAAGGGAGTTACCTTGAAAACAGGCATATTTTGAAGATCAAAAATACTTAGAATCATAGAATCATAGAATAGTTAGGATTGGAAAGGACCTTAAGATCATCTAATTCCAACCCTCCTGCCATGAGCAGGGACACCACACACTAAACTATGTCGCCCAAGGCTCTGTCCAACCTGGCCTTGAACACCGCCAGGGTTGGAGCATTCACAACTTCCTTGGGAAACCTATTCCAGTGCCGCGCCACCCTCACTGTGAAAAACTTCTTCCTTAGATCTAATCTAAACTTCCCCTGTCTAAGTTTCAAGTCATTACCCCTGGTCCTACCACTACAGTCCCTAACGAAGAATCCCTCCCCAGCATCCCCAGCATTTATCATAAGTACTACCACTAAAGTAGTAAATTCCAGCTTCCCAACAGCATTTCCATATGAGAAATGACAGTCACGGTTTGAAGTAAGCATAAGCACTGACAAAGTGAACACTAGATGTTGCACCAAATGACAGAAAGGTACTCTAGAATGCTACTCTTGATGGCAGTTTATTTACTGATTAGTATTAGTGAATACTATATACAACTTTAATACATACTGTGAAGGCAGACAATTTACAAAACTAATGCTAAGTTACAGCTCAAAGATGTTAACCTTACCAAATGTTTGTAATTTCACAGAATGGTTAGGGTTGGAAAGGACCTTAAGATCATCTAGTTCCAACTCCCCTGCCATGGGCAGGGACACCTTCCACTAGACCAGGTTAGGTTGCTCCATGCAGCCTGGTCTTGAACGCTTCCAGGGATGAGGCATCTACAGCTTCTCTGGGCAACCTGTGCCAGTATCTCACCACCCTCACAGTGAAGAATTTCTTCCTCTCATCTAATCTAAATCTGTCCTCTTCAGTTTAAAGCCATTCCCCCTTGTCCTATCACTACAGACCCTTGTAAAAAGTCCCTCCCTCTCCAGGTTTCTTGGAAGCCCCAGAACTGAACATAGGTAGGGTCTCACAAGAGCAGAGTATAAGGGGAGAATCACCTCCCTTGACCTGCTGGTCTTGCTTCTTTTGATGCAACCCAAGACATGGTTGGCTTTCTGCGCTGCAAGCGCACGTTGCTGGGTCATGTTGAGCTTTTTGTCAACCAACACCCCCCAAGTCTTTCTCCTCAGGGCTGCTCTCAATCCATTCTTCACCCAGCCTATATTTGTGCTTGGGACTGCCCCAACCCCAGTGCAGGACCCTGCACTCGGCCTTGTTGAGCTTCATGAGGTTCACACAAGGCCCACCCCTCAAGCCTGCCCAGGTCCCTTCTAGATGGCATCCTGTCCCTCCAGCATGTTGAATGCACCACACAGCTTAGTGTCATCCGCAAACCTTCTGAGGGTGTACTCAATCCCACTGTCCGTGTCACCAACAAAGATGCTGAACAGCACCAGTCCCAATACTGACCCCTGAAGAACAGTTGTTCATATTTATCAAAATATGTTGGGTATCTGAAAGTAACAGGATCGCTTCAAGCTGATATTCACAGAATTCAGGCAGGGTTGAAAGTTTTAGAACCATTGCTCTGGCTTCCGAGATCAAAATTGACAAAAGTATCTGCTGCACACCCTTGCCCAGCAGACCTGCACAACTGTCATCTGTCAGAAAGAACTCAAGACCTTTCTTCACACAGAGTTCCATCTAGCTAGTTCCAGGCTCCATCCCAGACTGCTCAGTAGAGCTCAGCTTCTCCATTTCTTCCTCTGACTTGATATTCCACCTTAGCAAGTTTGCAGCCAACTTATCTCCCAGTTCAGCTTCTTACCCTGCTTTCCCAATCACAGGCTGCTCAACACCTGCCCTGGCTTTTTGTTCCAAAATTTCTCTGGACCCATCTATCAGATGGTTAATCCCCCTATTTCTGCCCAAGCAAATTAATGTTCCCAGTTTCTTTCCCAAATATCCCACTCTTCCTTTCTGCTCTTCAATTTCCATCTTGATCCAATCCCAGCCTGTGCTCAATCTTTATCACTCAGCTGTCAGTTTTCTGTCTCTCCTCTGCATTTTTTTCTTCAGCCTCAAATTCTATGAATAAGTTTGTGTCTTTTTCTGCTACAGTCTCTCCACACTTGAGTTACATTCCTTCTTTATTGCTGCTGCTCAGGTCTGAGTCAAAGAAAGTATAGGATGTTAGGAAGAGACAAATCCATGCCCTCTCAACTCATCTGTAGCAGACCCCAACCATTACTTATTTACAGACATTCAGTCCTCAACTGAACAATGCTCAGCAATCTGCAAGAAGTGACTCAGTCTGGTCAAGGTAAAGATCAGGAGGATGCTGATCATCCACATGTTTGAGGACAGCTCTGGGGACAATCAGCCACTAACAGAAGCAACCAGAAGCTTCTAAGGAGAAAATCTGATTGAGTTCTAACTATCCATATTCAAAGAAACAGGACAAGGACATTGCTTCCATTTTTATATTCTACTAAAAGGTATGGAAACACTTTCTCTAAGAAAAAATGTCAGGTATTATAAGATCTTTCCCTCCACCGGGAGGGTGAAGAAGCTGTCCAAAATACACAGTTAAAACAAACTTACAAGGAAAATTTTGGTCTAATAATTAGGTCTGATAAGTTATAAGGAAGTAAAGAGTAGGTTCTTTAAATGAGCAGTCAGGGCAATCATAGTAAGTGGTGCTACTAACTCCAACTATAAACATGACCAACCTTCATTAAGCTTAAACAGTGATTCAATTTTAAATACACCAATTAATGGAAAGCTTGCCTAAAGTCAAATTGATCACAATATTGCATGATTTAAGTTATTGTAACAGTAGCTAACAAGAGAAAGCTCTGACCATAAAAAGACAAAAGAAAATTAGTGTCCTTGACAATTGTACTTAATCTATAATTAAACTGGAGAATGTAGCTATACATACATGATCTCAACAGCAAACAGCCCTACACTGGCCTGAGGCAAATTTAAGAGCTGCATCAATGCAACTTTAAAAGCCTGCTCCTGGCTACAGCAGTTCCTTCCACCCTCCCGCCAATATTCCTGCTTAATGCTTAGTACTTAGAAAGTATATATACTTTAAATTTTAAGTAGGCAGCTACCCCTCTCTTCTTGCTGCAGAGAACATTTCACTGCATAACCACTGAAACCACAATACTGCATCACTATTAAGTAAAAGATGTCTGTCATGCAGGAATTTACAAAAAATCATGTAAAATAATTGCACTAAAATATTATTACTTTACTTTGAAGCCTTGTACTTCAAGACATTTGGGACAAGTTTTCTTCACTACAGCAGCTCCCCATTAGAGCAGAGTGACACAGTACCATGTGTTCGAGATATATTTAACGAACATGTGCTTCACAGTAGTCCCTGTTCATGGCTTTGATATCACAGAAAGCTGTTGTGACGCCTTTGAAGAAGCAAAGGATTTGATTCCCTGTATCCTTTACATCCTACCAAAAAAAAGGCAAACTATGTTCTTCAGCAGAACTGAACTGTGGTAGACTGGGAACATAATGCATTTTTAAACCAAAAGAACTTGTAAACAAGTCATTAAACTCAGGATGACTTGATCCATGTCTCCTTGAGAAATCATTGAATTCTAGCCACAGTGGCTGAACTAAGTAAAGAGCACAGCAGGCAGAAACTCACATCTTTGAAAAGCAACAACGGTTTACAAAAAATATAGCAGGCTCATGCTGTCTTATAAAAGCAGAGCATATTTGGTAAGAAGGCAAGCCAAATCTCTGAAACAGAAAATGTTTCCAGTCCATTTTAAAAATAAAACCAAACAAAACCACACCACGAAACCACTACATTCAGACCATCCTGACCAGAACAAATACGTAAGCTTATTTCTTAGTCCTCTGTCCTCAACCAGTTTTATTCCCAGTTGAAATTTCTGCTCCACCTGTAACACTTGCCCAAAGCCAAGCTCTACTTTTGGTAGAACTCAAATAGCAGCATTACTGTGAATCCTTCTGCTGAACAACAAACCAAGCGTCTGTACTTGCCTTTTAAATGGAAGTCCTTTCAAACATACTAGCAAGTCGCTGTATTCCAAGAGTCCTTAAAAGTGACAAACCATTAAATCATCATAAAATATTTCATTAAGATGGTCAAGGAATTCCACAAAAATCCAGAGACAACACAGGAAGCTGTCCATAAAGTGCTGACCACCACAGTGAAACCTGAAGTTTAGAGGCAGCCAATGAAGACCTTTGAACATCAGCACCAGATAGATATTCACGACAAAATACTCAAGCAATCAATTTTTTTCAACCTTCAAAACATTGCTAAATGTTACACCTGAATGAAGAATGCAGCACAACAGTATCAATACAGGCAAGACAAAACTAATCAAGAAGATAAAAGTGGTTCCTGTTGGGGCTTTTTCAGTATGATCCAAACATTAGTACTTTAAAGAGAAGTACACAAGAGAACTGACTAGCCTGTGGTGAAAAAAAAAAAAAAATTCAAGATTGAGCTATTTAAGAAAAAGGTAAGAAGAGAACTGAAGTATATTGCTTCATTCTGGTATTAAAGTTTCCCAAGTTACTCTGCTGAACAGGGAAGCATGACATTTGTCCCAATAATCTGCATCAGATTGACATCTGACAACTCTGTATTTCCAGATGATTAAAAGAAATCCAAGGTTCAGTGTCAACAGCACTCTCCATAACCATTCTTCAGATCTCTTATCCACAGGAGTTGCACATAACATGCTTGTCACTGCACAAGCACACAACCGAAAAAGAGGTTCGGCTTGATACTCTACTCATTAGTAGAAGTAGCTGACTGGTAAAAAAAAATGCTTATAGCACTTCTGTATCACATTAACTTGCAGTTTCTTTGAGCTATGTAACCATGGTTTAAATGAGTTACAGGTAAGAATAGGATCTCCCAGTGTTGTCAACATTGTGGTGAAGTTGCTTTCCTGTTTTTAATGGTTATCTACATCTGTAAGTGAAGATACTCTCTACTCTTGCTATGACAGCAGTATTACTGTAACGAACAAAAGCCTTCCCCAGAGCTATACCTCAATGATAGCTTCATACCTTAAACTTACAATCAAGGAATATGTTCATTTATTAACCAAGCCCGACTCCATGTAAGCAGTTATGTTCCAAATTAGAGTTCTGATGGAAAAAGTGCTATTTTCTCATTCATGAGAGATTACCTTGTGGCAAGTCACAGGCAGATAATGCACAGTGACAAACTGATAGGGTATACTTCTTGTACATCAAGAAGACATTTCTCAGATATTACTTACTAAAATGTTAGCATATACTCCATTTCTGGTTGCTTAGTAATTATCAAGACAGAATGTTTTATATCGCCTTGGAAATGAGTAAAAGATCAGATATTTAAGCCAGATAAAACTAAAAGTCAGTAAACCAGTTACTTCTTATGCTTCTTCCAAAAATTTTTGCCATTCACTTCCTAGCAGGAAAAAAGAACTGGGAAACCAATCCCACCATGGTTTGTGATTGTTTTTACATAAAGCAGCACATTAATTAAGACCACACCAACAAAAAACAAGTAATTTTCAGCATTAGAGGTAGATCAGTAAAATCACATTTACTGCAATAAAACCATCCTATTTTTACCCCAAAATACTTGGTAAAATTCTGCTTTCAAGAAAGTAAAAGTTATTTTGCAGAATTTTCACTCCTACATCTCAAATGCCTAATGAAAAATCTCACACTAATTCTTAAGGCTTTACATTTTTGCAATATCTATAAACTGACTCAGCAGCTCAAGCCCATTAAAGGCATACTTTGATAAAGATTTACTTCAATGATAACACTGGTTTAATTAGGACCCACCTCTCCCAAAACCTCTAAGGACTTGCAGTTACAGATAATACTCAGAAGCCCTAAAGGCAACCACCTCCAAGAGCTGCATATCCATCTTTAAGGGCTTTCACGCTTGATTCACACAGAGGAAAACAAGAGTTTTTAAGACCCCAGTAACAAATCACGTCTTTTCTATAAGAACTTTCTAACTTTAAAAGTAGTCAAGAAGCTACTAGCCTACTCTCCACTCACTGAAAAGGTGATTAGATGACTTGAGGGCAAAGATGTAATTTGCATTGTCTTAACTTCATGCATCTGATTTCAGTCTTACTTTCATGCTAGCAATAGTACTTTTAATGAAGAAAGAGTGCACTACGGCACAGGAAAAGAAACTAGTCAAGTTTTCCCTGTAATTCACCCCCATTAGACCACATCCAGAGAAGGCTACAGTTAGATATGACTTCCCCACCAGTCTCATGCAGCCTTCTCATGCCAGAAACTGAAGGGCAATGCCATTTTGTACTCCCTGTTAAAGATAATCAAGCAGAAACAGTCTCTCTGTTGCACTCTTGATAGTTTCCCACAGTTGGTGTGCTTCTAGCCTGAATCTCGGGGCTGTACACTATTCGGTAACTTCCCCCCATGATTCCTGTTTAAACTAATGTAAAATACCATCAAATACTCAATAGCACATCTAACTGGAGCTTCTCTGGTTGGAAATTATAATTCCTGGAGTCTTTTAAAACACTGCATCTTCCTGTTGGCTGTACACCAGATGCCTACTGTATCTGCAGACTATAAAATGTCTCAAAAGGAACTATGTTAAATTAAAATTGACAATTTGTCTTTGAACTCCCTGAAATTAAACAAGGCAGTTTTACTAGATTTTCCTGCCCTGAGGAAAACAGCAAAAGGAACAAAGGCAGAAATTCCAACACACCTCAATCAAATGACCTGCTGAACACAGTGAAAGTTAACCACCTTGGAACATATTCCCTTCTTAACTATTTCTGTAATCTACAGTGCTATTTTCTATCTGTTCATCAGGAACATTAGATAGAAAAGATTTGTTATGCCATGATTTGCATGAGATATATTGCCAAATGAAGAAATGCCTATGAAGAAATTTTAAGGGCACAGGACAGAAGATAATATTAACAAGCTAAGCTAGAAGCAGGGACAAGAATTGAAAAAATACAAACTGCACCCACTATGAAGTTAGACTAGACCATTTCATTTTGAAGGGACCAACGATCTTTGACCAACTGTCTGACCAAATCAGGCCTGACCCAAAGTTAAAACATGTTAAGGGCATTGTCCAAATGCCTCAAACACTGAGAGGCATAGGGCATCAACCAGCTCACTTGGAGGCCTGTTCAAGTGCTTGAGTTCATCAGTTATTTTTACAAAAAGCTCATCTAAACCAAGAGCTAGATGACAGGGGGGATTTCATCAGATTTAAAGAGCAAACTTCGTGAGCTTAGCACATACCTTCTGTCTGTTGAGTCTCCTGGGGCTTTCCTTCTTTAGCTTCTAGAGGTGCAGTTTCAGATCGCAATTCTGTAGATTGCTTTCTTTCAAAACTGAAGTCTGGAAGTCGTGGAGCCTGAGGTCTAGTTTTCCTTGCAGGATTCAGGAAAAAGCAGTAGGCACACCTAAATGCTACACAAAAGCATACCCAAAAGGTAGCATCACTGATTAATTTCACTTTTCACCTTCATTCCTATACTGTATTTTGACTGTCTGAAATGCTTAAAAAAGAGAATTAAATGAGTGACTATCAATACCTGAGAGTATCTCCATCAAATTTACAGAAGCATGTACATACAGCGTAATTTTTAACTTCAGCATACATTTGCTTCTTAAAAACCTGTGTGCTTTCAACTCTGCTGCTCTTATGAGTACTGCCCACCACTATAAAAGATTTGACCACAGTGAACAAGATTCAGTATCACCAGACGCTGCCACATAGTGTTCTTCTATTCTTTCCTACAAAAGAATTAAGTTGGCAGATGATGTTCCCCCGCTAAGATACCACTTTCCTCACCCCTTGAATAAGTAGATGCTATGGATTCTGCAAGGTATGTCTCTCTGCTTTTTGAGGAGCATTCTGCTCAAATGATATCAGTCTACAGATTAAGAAAAGGCAGTTTTATCCTGGAGAAGTATTGGACACCACTTAATAGTTAAATGCGTATTTACTCCTTTCCCCCACAAAACAAGGAGGGGAAGTGACAATTTCTTGCACAGTCGAATTGTGAACTCACCTGGAGCTAAGATGACATACAGACTACATCTCTTTGGTTCCATTGGGAATGTTTATCTTATCCCTACAGTGCTGTATATTTACTTATAAAATTAAGCAAAACAAAATGTTTATTAAAAAAAGTAAAATATTTATCTAAGATCCCTCATTTCTTAAGCATCAGGCTTACACTTGTGATAGAAAGGAAGCAAAATAAAACATCTGTGTTCAATAAAGAGCTGTGTCTGTCTTAAGTTATTGTCAGCCATAAATTCACATATAGCTCCCTAGGGCTTGTTCCTACTCCCTTTCCGATACCTCCCCAGCATCTTCTTGCCAAAGCAAAATTTTGTTTAAGTTCTGGTAAAAGAGGCACACTTTAATGTCACATAGTTTCTCAATATAAAACCCTTCTGAGAACCATTCATAGCCAGTAGCAATTCTCAGGGATGTATTGGAGGAGGCTTATTTCTACTGAATAGTTTTCTACACATAAAATCCTTGGCCTGAAGGTTGCAATAAAGTACTTCTCTAAGTCTTGAAGTGAATCTTAAGATACAGAGTAATAAGTTACCATAAAACTGTTCCCATATGAAGTGGCATTTCAGTGTCAGTTAAGTACTTAACTGCAACCAGAATGAAGTATGATGCATGTTAGTTATGAAACATAAGGCAACTAATAGTCTACCACAGATTAGCTCTTACCTATGTATTCAAACTCCTCCTTCAATGCCATACCATTGTGAGAAAAACACTGCTGACATATAAGGGCGTACCTAGAAAACATGAATAATACATAATGATATACCCTTAAGTAATAACACACCAACGTGAGATGCATTTCACCTTTGATATTAATAGCTTTGATATTTCCTCTTAAAAGGTGATTTCCACAGTGAATTATCCTTTAGAGCAAACAAGCTGTATATTAAATAATAATTTCTTAAGTTGGTTTAAAACCAGTGAAATATTCTCAGCTACAACCTAAACCTCATGGCTCAACATATTAAATGTCATTGTCAGAAAATAATATCCAAATTAAGTCTACATTTCATTAGGATACAGCCAACGAGAAAAGTAACCACTGTAAACATGGAAGTTACAATATGTTTGGACAGTTCTGAAGGCATTCTGAAATAATTTATAACAGCAATAAATCTGAAGTTCTAATATAATCCATTTTTTTTTTATTTTTTAGTTCAAAACAGAATTCATCCACTTGAGCACAGATTTTTCTTTTTGAATCCCATGATTAATACCAACCAAAGCAGAGGTTAGTTTTGTCAAAATGTTACCATTTTCCTACAAAGAGATTTCAGGTGAAACACTGGAAAAGGGCCATTTCATCACAAAAGTTTTGGACAAATTAATTTGTAATTCTTTAACCTTGACACATGTGGCTTGGAGTTAAGCAGCTTCCTATTTCTTTAGCATTTCGGTATTTAGCAACATTTTACCTGTTCTGAGGACCATCGCCAACCAAATATTCAATAACTCTATCCACAACTCCTCTTTCTCGAGGAAGAATAGGTCTTGCTAAAGGAGGGCCTGGAGGATGAAGACCTAGGAAGACACAACTGCGTCAGAATTATTTTCACCTATACTATTACTTAAAACTATGGTATTTCACTGTGCATGCTAGTGTAATAAAATAATTGCACCTACTTAATATACATGGCCATATTTCTTAGTCCACTAGGAAAGCTGTAAGATTTTTAAACCCACAATAGTTGGAAGTTTCTCTTCTCCTTTAGCTTATCTACTTTTACACCTTGCATATGTAATTACACTTGTAATTTCTAAAGAACTTAAGACACCAATAGTATTTAATAATTACTCCCAAATAGAGACTTTTTAGCAAAGAAAAACTCCTTATTTAAGTTTTCTTCATATACTCTCAATTCTGCATATTCAAAACTTCAAATTTACAGCTATAAATCTGGTAAAACCAACTGCAACAGTAGAAGAATTAAAGATGTTACCAAAAAAACACCTGCTGGTTTCTGTGTAGTTACTATACCACAGCAGCATGCCCTCAGTGTGCATTCAGTCTACACATTAAACCTGTCTAGCCATTTGATATTTTGGTAATCCCATGTTTAATGGAAACTTTGATACTTCCAGATTTATGCTTAATGAAAGAAGCCAGAAGGACACTATTCAGGTATCATTTTCCATATCCTATGTGTTTAACAAACTAGTATCAAAATAAAACTCCACCAGAAAGAGGTAACAGCAATAGTTAGCACTACCTTTTCCACCTCCGTTTGCATATGGCAATTAAAATAGACCAGTGGCCCAAACTTGTCTTTCCAAGAAGTTTTAAAACATCTGGTTTATTGTACAAGACCAGTGCAAACTACCAATTTCCACATATGCAGCTTTGAGTTCTTATGCCTACCTTCCTTTCCAGCCTTAAAACAGAAGATGTTATGCATAATGAGCAAAACAAGATTTGGTAAGAAACTAAGCCTGAATCATTCAGATATGACCATTCAAATAACTGAAACTACTTCTCAAGGCCACACTCCTGGACAAGATACATTTTACACAAGCACAGAATGTATTAAGTTACAGTACTTTGAACAAATGTATCATACAGTCATTCTTGAATGAGAGATATTTAAGTGAGTACTAGAGGTGGGAAGGATGACAGAAGACTTAAAATGTCTTAGGGAAATATCCATAAGACCTTTATGAATTACATTCAAAGGGCACAAAAAAAAAAAAAAAAAAACCACACAAAAAACAAACAGTGTTTGAGTAGGAAAAACAAAACAGTCCTTTTGGAACTCTGAAACTGGGACAAAATGGTCAGCTTCAAGCCACCTGAAGACAAAATTATGAAACCCAACAGGTAAGACTCAGTTTAACCCAATGACAAGCTTACTTGTAACAATGCAAAAGTCCTTTTCGAGCTCAAGATAGTTAAGAAGGTTAGATAGAAAAAAATGAACTAATATTAGCAGGTTTTGTACCGAGATGAGCATGCAGTAATCTTAAGGCATGCAAGAACTGAGTATATTTCATGGAAGTAAAAGTCTCAAGGCAGAAAAAGTAACCAGTGTTTTCTCACAGAAGAGTTCTAGCTTGTAACCAGTAAAAAGGATGTATGAATGAAAGGAATGGCTTAAAAATAAAGACTTCTAGTGACAACAGACTCAACCTTCAATTCTCTTTCAATTTGCTGTATGCTTCCGTTATTTTTCTTGAGAAGATATGTTTCACAGAATCCCCAATGATGTCCAATAAAGAAGAAGCTAAAAGGTAAAACAAACTAAATCCACTGCCTGAAGATGCAGAAAGGATTTTTTAAAAATCCAAATAATGGACTCCCAGGAGAGCAGAGTTTGTTAGCAAGCTGAATTAATTTAGAAGGACATTTAACTGAAAGATGCCATGGGAAAAACACTGGACTTCAAGCTTCTCATAAGACAGATGTAGCTTTCTTGTAGCACCTTAGCTGGGGACTGCACCACGAAAGACATGCACAGTCATAGCTTCCGACACAACTGATGCTCTTTCATAAACACGTGCGTACATAAATGCACAGAAGTAACATGTACCTACAGTAGAGTTTACTACAGGCAAAGACAACACAGCAAGTCTTACTATTTGATAAGCTGATCCAAGATGGGCTTTAAGTTTAAATACAGCATTAAATGTAGCTGCCAGCAATTACATTCTCAAGCCTTCTACCTTTCAACCTTCACAGAATGTGCTACATTGTGGTAAACCTCAAGCTGAATGCTATGTACAGCTAACCTCCATCCTCTACCACAAACTTCAGGAACATTCTAGGAATCAAACATTTTCAGTAGTACCCTCTCAAAGTGCAACACACAGAATGAGACTAATCTTGCCATTAAGGTTATAATATTTCTAACAGCAGAGCCTTTCAAAGCGCCTCTCATCAATACTGGATAATTGACCTAAATGGACTGTCCTAATCTTTACAAGCACAATAAAATTTGATTAGAAAATACTGGAATTTACAACCCTTCAATAAGCACAAAGATTGATGCTTAACACGAATGTTTTAAAAATAACCCTAATTTTCACAAACAAGAGAATTTAATTCAGAAGATACCAGGGAATGCATTCTCAAATTATTCCTGTATTCTGTCAACAATCAGGAACCCAGATTAAGCACCAAGGCAGAACAAATTCAGTGCAACATAAACTGGACCTAATGGTTCATTTTATAGATTCTGAAAAAGCTGTCCTGAAGAGTTCAGGCAAAATCCAATTCCTAAGAGCTTCATAAAAACCTGAAAGACCGAATACTTCCAGGAAATAAAAAAAAAATAATGAAAAAAATTAAAAAAACCCACAAACAAACAAACAAAAAAAAACCAACAGCACTTGAATGGGCAACACCTAACATAGATGTGAAGTAAAGATCTGGAGCACCAATACAATCTGCAATAAAATTAAAACTCTAGAATAATTTTGTGAATACCTGGCGAACACTCAAATGTGTATTCAGCCCTATATTCAAAAGGCCAAACTTCTGTATGAGCTAAACATTACCAATATATGAAAAGTTTTTGCAACTTAATAAACAATGTAAAAATTAAATAAAGTTACCTAGAATGAAACATCACCACACACTCCAAGAAGAACTTCAATTACCTGCCTACTAATAACTCAAACCAACCATCTTAGTTTTCACGCTGTTATGGACACCAGTAATTAATATAAACATCAAAAGCAATCATTGTGGAAAGACTGGTCATTTCTGCAAAGCTTGGCAAACTCTCAACTACCTGCTGGTTATTAATTTTCAAACATATGGGAGCTCTGTGGTAATGCACGTTAAATTGATTCTCCTCTACAAAATATAGTATAATGAAAATGAATTATTAAGCTTCCCTAAAGTAGAGATAATTATGGCTATTCATATTTGTTTCAAGCCATGCATAAACTTGGGTACAATGATACTACTCTTACAGATACTGAACTGACACACTTTTCACTACAGCTACATGACAGATTTTATATGCCTGAAAGTTTTGGGGAAATTCAATACAAAACAGGGCTTCCACATCAACTGACAATTGCAGTTGCTTCCATTGCTATCTACAATAAAATAACACATTTTCTCAATACTGTGGGGGGAAAAAAGTGTCCATATAAAGCATTATCACAAAAACTACACTAAATATTGTAATTAACAGGCTTGGTAACTGTCCTTCCAAACAAGTCCATTACTTTTTTCCCCTTCTTCCTCTAAAGCATTTCTGCAGTAAAGGCTGAATTTTATTCAGCTTAGCCAATGTGCCCTAATCTTCCCCTAAGAATAAAACTATTATATAGCTGATACTATTTTATTACATAGTCAGCTTCATAAACAAGAATGAACGTGTGATTTTAAACTCTTCAAGGAATTTTCAGTAAGCAGGTTTCAGTAAACGTGGTTTGTAACCAAATGACCAATTTCCTGGTGCAAGGAGCTGATTTCTGGTACTTCAAGATAATTAAGACTTCGTAATAACTTGCCTTTACAGTTCACTTTAGGGATAAAAACAAATCTAGCAGTTCCATAATGCAGGTAAAAAATTACTAACAAAAAATAAGGCCTAATGAACTCTGCAGAGAAGTGAGAGATCACAGCTTTTTATAATAAGTTTATTCTACTACATTAAACAATACAAACAGGCATTTTAACATTCAGCTGCCCAAGATCTTTCATTAAGAGACTGTGTGTCAACATATTATTTACAGTCCTACTTGAAGATGTTATCATGGAAGTTAAGTAAAAAAGGACATAGAGTTCGCAAGGCTTGGGTAACTCCAAGTTAAAAACAATACAGGGCAGAGGAAAATACTCTTGAATCACTGTACGAAGAGCAAAGAACTACTCCACATTACAGTGGTGCTCAGAAGATTCTTGGCAAGTTGCATCCCTTCTATTTTCAAAACAGCATTTATCTCTTTTCTTGCCTTGTGATACAACTTTGCAGACATCCTGCAACAAATAAAGTCCTGGCACTAACCCATATGCAGCTTTACCATGTATGGGGAGAATGAGAACGCCTCCCACTCAAACCTCTCGAATTTTGCTGTCCCTCCTATAGAATTTAGTTCATGTTCTATTTAATAAAATCCATTCCACCGGAAGACCAAGCCAGAAATTGAGAGAAAAGCATTTTTCAGGATATGAAAACAAATTTTACAGAGCATTCATTTCTACCAGATTTCAACCTGTTGCTAAACTTTTGACTCTTCTACCAAAATAACAATGCATTTTAGAAGAATTCAGCTACAACAGGCAACTTTTTCCAAGGTATTTGATATTTTACACTTTAATCTATGAGTATAGGTTGCATGACTATACCTCCTAGAGTAAAAATTTAAATAAATGTCAAGATATGTGTTAAAAAATATGTGCAGGGTTTAGTGAGAAACATGAATGTACTCTGAAAGTGTTCTCCTCTGTATCTGATTTATATAAGTGTAGAGCTCTTCTAAACTAAGAACATAAAAAGGTATGCTATATTGTTGACTACAGAATACTGCAAAGTTTTATTGCCATTTAAACAAAAAAGCCATAACAGTTAAATGAGCTCAGGCAATAGGTTTCAGCATCAAAAGGTGCCAGCTGTAGAGAGTTATGGCTAATTGAATATGGAACTCCTGCTTAATCAGATAACTGCTCTGCTATTTCCAAATGAAATGCCATTTCCATACTGTCTGAAAATGGCCTATTTTATTGGTAACCAGAGAAAACAATATAAACTGTAAATAACATTAAGTGTTCTGTTTACCCATTCCAGACACTGAAGTAGCAGGGGATCCAGGGCGTCTTGGTAAAACATTTGACTGCAAGGGTGGCACAACGGTTTTTTCTGGGGGTCCACTCAGAGGTGATGCGTCTCTCTGCAGATTAGGAGATGCTGGAACCAGCGATTTTGGAGAGCCTTGTTTAGGACTTGCAGGCAGGGGTGCAGAAGCATTTCTTTGAGCTGCGGTCCTCTGACGAATTTCTGACAAGAGTATGTGCATACAGAATTTAATATCTAGCATTACAAGCAAGACATTAGTAAAAGTACATTAATATCGTTATTCCAACCAGCAAATCAGAGCCAAACAAAACCAGAAAGGTCTGTAACTAAAGACCACGACCTGCCTGGCTGAGCATACCATAGAAATAACCCACACACAGAATACTATATTTAAAAAGCAATCACAATTAACTGCTAAATACTTACAGCAAAATTCTTCTAGAAGAAAATTCGCAGATATCTATCTTACAATTTTGTTCTCTAAGGCAAAATGGTGAAGATCAGAACAGCTAGAGTCAAGCTACAGCATACAGACAGAACTGACCACTGTTTATGATTTAAACGTGTTTCCAAGTATTTAGCTTTCCATGGGTCCAAAAACTATCCAGTTATGTCTAAAATATCCAGGCTAAGTGCCCAGAGTTACTAAAAAAAAATTTCAGACTGGGTAGATGGAAACAATCATAAAGCCAGAAGAAAACGTAATGCTTCATTCAGATCATATTGTTTTGTTCACTTGTTTCAGCAACCCTATCAACAAGTCATCTGCTTAGATTGTCATGAAGCAAGAACAGGGTCTGATGGAACATGTCCTTGCTTTCACCTCCTCTCATTCCACTATCAGTTACTATTAAATGGATATTACAAAATAGGTTTCAGTTCTTATACGAAGCCAGAGTCCTTAGTAATACCAATGGGAATACAATTCCAGTAATGTATTACGGCTTGGATATTGTTCATGTAAATCTGAAGTTCCAGTATATTTATACAGAAGTTTGTTCCACAAAACAAATCATGAACAGTGCTTATGAACAGCAGTGTCACTGTCATCTATTTCTCATCCTATCTAAACCTCATCACCTCCAGGCAGCCTGTGAAATACACTATTGCAACAAACCAAATTGAAATGTAACCCTCACTTTAGGGCTGCAGACATTACCATGGATAACAAGTGACAGCTTAGACTCTAAAACATACATCCCAAGAATGCCTACACCTAAGGCTACAGTAATCCACACAGTTAGCACTCTAGCATTCCCACTAGTTTGAACAAGCTTGCTTGTCTTCCTTCACAAGAAATGGAATTTAACATTCTAATTGAACTTTAAATTCATCTCCCTAAATTTCAAGATGAGAGAGATCTTATCTGCTGACTTTGTGCCAGGTTGGAAGAGTTTAAGTCCTTAGCAGTCAGTTTATAGGTCCACTGGTGACCAGCCACAGGGTATGCTAAAGTCTGAAGGAATGATCCCTGTCCCCAAAAGTACAGTACTACCACACTAAGCTTCTGTAAAGGCTGGAGGAGGCAGGGAGCATGTGACATCAGCTTACATTAGCTAAGAAAAAGTTGGTATCACTGGAGTACTAACACAAGCTCTGTTGGAAAATCACAAACTAGCGCCACAAAATGGCAACATACATAGGCTATGTTCTTGCTTACTTATCTGTAAGTATAAATAGGATTAATGTACACCATAAGAACAAAAAGAACTCTTAGAATAATCTAATAATCAATTAGAAGACTACAACTGCAGAGTCTTACTAAAAGTCCACCTAATTCAATTAATAGCAGAACAAATTACTAGCTTTCCCCTGCCACACCTTCGTGTGCATGACTACATTGCCGCACACTTTATCATCCAACTTAGATCTCCCAATGAGTATAAAGATACTGTACTTCAACTTGGTTTTAGCAAGTCTCCTCACAACTTAAACTGTTCAGAATCTGGAAAATAGCATAAATTGTTGAGGTAGTTGCAGAAATTCCATTAAGGTTTCCTTGGTGACTTGTTTCTATTTTGAAAACTGCTCATGTGTTCAGAGTTTTATTTTAATCAAGAATTCATTTATGACAAACCTCACCACTGAGATTTCTTGGAGAGCTTTTTGTGAGAGACTTTACAAGTAACCTTTCAAGCTTAACTACACTACAATAATTGCACTATCCTCTCCATGCCATCTGACCAACAGGCATGACTTATCTACAAACAATATATTGATTCTGCCCCTCAATTTAGCCAAATTTTCAAGTTTGTGTTAGTTTCTACTCATATACCACTTTCAAAAAATCAAGCTAAAGGTATGCAATCTCTCAAATCTTCACAGCTCCACAGGTCTTTAAAAAAATAAGTGATAAATATGAATGAAGCCTAACTCCACTTCTTCAAGATCATTTTAAATATCTGTAAAGACATTTTAATCCACTGCTAATATTTTCTTCAGTTTTTCATTACAAAACCTGCTTTATTATGGTTTTACATACAAAGATGTCAAAGATCATGACTATAATTTCTACATATGGATGTTACTTCTACATTTTGAAGGCTGTGGTTTAAGCATGTCAATTTTGGTTGCTTAACAGCAACTTGTTTCAATAGGTCATGGACATATCCACATTTATTCCAAGTCCTCAATACACTATTTCTAAGTAATTTCCATGCTACCTGCAAGAGTTTTGCCCATTTAGCCTGTTCTTTCTGAAGGGCCATTTTTGGCAAGCCTCCTTTAACAAAGCCTTCAGTTTTTAAAAAGTTACTGCTACTTTAATGACCTCTTCCCCATATTTTTGGCCCTCAAAGGTGTTGAACCCAAGTACTTTACAGTCAGTATTAGAGAGTATTAGTAGTGCACTTCAGTAGTTTTAGCCTCATTACAGAAGTAAGAATGCAAGACTTTACTGTTAGTTTCCACAAAATGGTATCAGGTTATGAACAAGGCTTACACACACACATAGACACTTAGAAGTTCATTAGTTCATTTAGCTTTCACTGTTCTTTATTTCATACTTAAGAGAACTTGCCAACACTCTCTTGCTCCCAAGTAAAAAAAGTTACCAGAAAAACTTATAATTATAAATGCTCTCCATGAAGAGACCAATAGCACATCCATTGCAGTACTCCAGCTCTTACACTGGCTGCAGATGTTATTTAATGACAACACACAAGCCTGAATGACTTCTGTTGCCTACATCTCCAATACTACTCAGGATCCATAAACGCGTGGTCAGCGACATTAGAGAGTACAGCTCTGTCTAATCATTTTTAGTATCACATATGAACCGTGTGGCCCATGAACTCCTCTAATTCCTTTAAACCTGCTTTCTGCTTCAAAAATAACAGCCCTAATATTCTTCTGCAGTAACTGGATACGATCTGTATACTTCTCAAATTGCCTTATGTTGAGATGCAATGTGTTAATACTGAACTTGTTGAAGTTCCAGATTTCTATAACTCAAGCTCCGCAAGTTGGCTGAGTAACATGTCCATTAGGTCTCAATGCTAACACAATACACAGCTCCTGCTGATGTAGTTTTAATGAAGTTTGCAATTTTCCAAGGTTTTTTCTACTTCAAATGATTTTTTTGAGCATCCACAAACCAAGTGTATGAAGACAGACAAGTAATTTAAAAATGGAACTTTTACTCTTCAAGCACACTGGAGTCCAAATTCTGCAGTTACAGGCACTGAATAATACAGATACATAAACAAACGTTACTTAACAGGGCTACTACTCACAACTGATGATGCAGTATGATCTTTTAAAGAATATTAAGATATTGCCAGTGGTGAGACAGCTGTGTTTTTCATATTTACAAGCATAACTATTTTATTTCTCCCTCACTTCAAAACTCCTTGGTTTTTGTAGATATGAATACATCATTTTTAAAGAGCTAAAGCACAATGCAGGTCAATATATAGTTCACATAACTTGTTGGCTTTAGTGCCAAAGACCAACCAAGCATTTTCTTTCTTCTTCCTCATGCCTGTACCTATCCCACAGCTTGCAACCATCTCCTACTGCATTATTTCTAAATTCTCGTCACGGGGTGATCTCATTCACAATATAGATCTGCTAACAGTTGT